GAGCCATGAAGCTCACTGGGAGACCTTGGGTCTCGCACCTTGACCTCCTTGGAGGAAAAGTGGGATATAAATGCGAAAACAAACTCATATGCCTTGAATTCTGCCCAAATCTATATAACTGATGTTCTTAACTAGATAATCTGGCTACACTGGTTGCCCTGACTAAGATAATGGTTGGATGAAGGACTTCCTCAGTTATATTTTGCAGACTTCATGGCTCTAGTAGTGCAGTAGTGAGGAACTTGTGGCCTTCCATATGTCACTGAACTTCTACTCCCATCATCTCTCCCACTGGCCTTCCTGGTTGTTAGAAGTCAGACAACTGCTGAAGAACCCTCGATTCCCCTTGACTGTAGTGCTGCCACTGGGTGCTTACTCATGGCAAGGCCTTTTCAGTGATGGTTCCCCAATTGTGGAATGCCCTCCCTATTGAAGTACGCCTGTTCCCATCATTATCAACTTTCAGGAGAAATGTGAAAACATTCCTGTTTAGCCAGGCATTTGGTGGCTGAAAGATACTGTTCTGGGCAACCCTGTGATCATCAGATGGAGGAATGCTTTTCACTGTAATTGCTTTTATAAAATGTTTTTAACTGAAACTAATCTTAGATGTTTTTAATTGTAATTGTTTTGGGGAATGTTTTAACATTGTTTTTGTTTTTAAATTGTGAATCTGTTGGCAGTCCTGGGATCCCTGGGGAAGAAGGATACAAATTCAATAAATAAGAAAAACCAAGTCAGGCTTCTTCCAGCTGCTGCCACTGAAGATAAAACTACACTCCATCGGGAGGGCCGCTGGCCTCAGCCAGCAATAAAAGAAAGGGGGGGGGAGCCATTTAAATCCTTAGAACTGGATTGCCCAGTGGCATAACTGGCAAAGGCGGCACCTGCTCAAGAAAGGTGGACAGCGGGCTCTGAGTAGGCTGCAAAAGCACTGCCTGAACCATACTTCATTTCCAGCAGTGTCTTGATACGCAGCTGCAAGGATGAAAGGGGAAAAGGCAATGAAATGGCGGGGAGGGAGAAAATGGGGAGATCAGTCATTCGTTGGTGATTAGTGTGCAATCTCTGCCAGGGAGACCACGGGACATGCCCTATTAGCTTTAAAATAGACAATTCTTCATTCCACGCGGCCTTTCAAAAGACTCCGTATTATCTTTGAAAAAACCGCTAACCTCTGATGGATGGGCGCCAGCAGCAAGCCGCCACTTTGATTTTAGCATTTCAGAGCGCCAAGTGCCTCATCTCTCTCTCTGCTCTCTCCACCCCCCCCGCCCCCACATCTTATTTTACTAAGTTACTGTGCTCCCCATCCACCAGACCAAAAAAAAAAAAAAAAAGTATTAAAGCTTCAATCAAACCTCTGTACTAGGATGGATGGGCTGGATCATCTGTTGAGTCAGCCCTGGCTCTCTCTACCCAGAGCGCTCCCTGGTGGCATTAGAGCTTCATTAGCGGTAAATTGTTGCAGCAGGGATATTATTGCAGTCTCTCAAGGGCTGCCGAATATTCTAGAGAATAGGGAGGAGTGGGGCAAAGATAGCCTGCATTGGAAACCTCAAGAACTGACTGCTGAGATTTGCACTAAGTGAGTCTGCCCTTGATATCCGACTGGAAGCTGCAGATGGTGCAAAACGTGGCAGTTAGGTTGCTGCTGAGTGCAGCAGCCTATTGCAGGAATGTGACGCCACTCTTAAAAGAGCTGCGTGGGTTTGCTGATCTGCTACCAGGCTGGGGTCAAGCACTGAATAATAAAGTCCAAAAGAACTTAGCTTACCTGAAGGGATGCCCTTCCCTCCAAACAGACCTGCCCAGTCACCAAAGTGTTCTAATAAGGCCCACCTAGCTGTGTCATAGCCTGCTGAGGCCCAGCTTGCCACAGCCAAGGGAAAGGCCTTTTCAGTTGTGCCCCCGAGTCAATGGAAGAACCTCCCCTCTGAAATGAGGCAGGTGCTGATTCAGCTTAGTTTCCAGCACTTGCTAAACCCCTGTTTGTTCTACCAGGTGTTTGCTGGCCATGAATACGAGTTTATTGTGATTCACCCTGACTCTATAGATGCTGCTGTATTAATTTTTACTGAGTTTTTTTTTACACTGTGGTTCTATTGATGTGAACTACTTTAAGATTTCTTATGAAAGGCAGTAGCAAAATTATTTTAATTAAGTAAATTAAGAGTGGGGTTAGGCCTGCCGGTGAGGATGAAAGCCAATGTGAGCTACTGACAGGTCCAGCTGGTTTGTGGATAGATCACTGGTTGTCCAGCTCAGTATCCTCTACACTGACTGGGAGTGGCTCTCCAGGTTTCAGACTGGGGCCTCTCCTAGCTTTACCTGCAGATGCTGGGGACCTTCTGTGTGCAAAGCAGATGCTCTACCAAGGAGCTACAATCCTTCCCTCAAGGCACAGGAAACTGCTTTATAGTGAGTCAGACCACTGGTGAGGGGAGAGACTCCATCAGGCAAGGCCTCCTTCCACCTGCCTTGCCCCACCTTCCAGCCCTAGGAGTCCTCATAAGGGAGCTGGTCATGAAGGAAGAACTGTGAGGGGAGAGACTCCATCAGGCAAGGCCTCCTTCCACCTGCCTTGCCCCACCTTCCAGCCCTAGGAGTCCTCATAAGGGAGCTGTTCCTGGAGGAAGAACTGTGAGGGGAGAGACTCCATCAGGCAATGCCTCCTTCCACCTGCCTTGCCCCACCCTCTACTTCTCAATGTGTATTGTACTGTTTTTTGTCCCGAGGCTTGCCATTTTATTGATTATAGTTTAGATATTATTGTAACTGTTGAGTGGATTTTTGCTTATTTTAAAGTTATGTTTTATTATCATATTTTTGTATTGCATTAGATTGTTATAAGATGTACAATCTTTGTTTCTTCAGCTTGTAAACCGCCTTGAGTATTGTAAGATAGAAAGGCGGTATACAAATTAAAAATGAAATGAAATGAAAATGGTCCACCTAGCTCAGTATTGTAACACTGACTGGTAGTGGCTACTGAAGGCTTCAGACAGAGGTCTCTCCCAGCCCTACCTGGAGATGCTGTGGATTGAACCTGGAGCCTTCTGCATGCAAGGCAGATGCTCTGCCACTGAGCCACAGCACTTCCTTCCTTGAGTACTTTCTCTGCTGATGTATCAAAGCCCACTGAGCTTGCAAGACATGTCCATAACTACAACGTCATCTCCATACACCACACAGAGATGCAGAGCGATAAACTACACTTGGTTAACCCAATCTGCTTTGTTTTTCAAAGCTCAATAATGAGAAGGTGGGAGAAGGAGCTGATCACAACCAAAACAAGCACGGCTGTGTTGAGCAGGCCTGAGCAAGCTGCCTCTTCTTTTCATCGTGATCAGAGCTCAGGGCGTGTTTGTGTGTGTGTTTTCCTTCGCTGGGGCATCATCTGCGCTTCTTCGAAGCACCAGGGGTCCTGCTTTCTCTTCCCCTCCCTCAGCCTTTCCTCTTTGTGGTTTAATTAGTATTTCCAAGAGCTGTGATCCCGCTGGGAAGCCTGGGTAAAATACAAGGGGAGGAGAACCCTAACAATGATTCTTAATTAGCAAACGCTTCGACTCCCTGCTGCCCGTGGTGTCTGCAAGGAAGGGAGAGAGGATGCATGAAAAAAGGGCGGCAGGGTGGGCTGGGCAACCCTGGAGGAAGAGGGCCTTGTGTGCAGAGATTTACAGGCAGCATTTTGCCTGCTTCCTGACATCTCTGAGCATGCTTGGTGCCTGACCCGGACACTAGCATAGATGATGCTATTTACCCCCAGCCGGAGGACATTTGCTCTGGATGCAACATGCTGCTTTTCAACACTAGATGTTCGATAAGCAGGCCTTGCCCTTCGATGGAATCAATCAGCTCTTGTGTCTCAAAAATAAGAATCAGGAGGGTTTTGTGCGAAATTAAAGTCCCAAGCCACATTCAGTCTACTCTGCATTTTGACAGCTGTTGCAAGGGAAGGTGCACACCGACAGCAGAGATTGATGCAGTGCCAGTTTTGGTGGAGCTGAATCTGCTCAGTTGCAATGCCTTCTCCTTGTAACCTATGCCCATTGTGTCAATGTACAAATGCTGTTTTAGCCATTTCAATGCACCAGAATGAGGTGACTGAAGAAACTAGGGACAGAGAAGCTGCCTTCTACTGAGTCAGTCCATTGGTCCATCTAGCTCAGTATTGTCTACGATGACTGGTAGGGGCTCTCCAAGGTTTCAGGCAGGGAGTCTTTCCGAACCCTACCTGGAGATACCAGGGATCGAAGCTGGGACCTTCCACATGCAAACAGGTGCTCTGCCACTGCACCACTGCTCATTTGAGCACATCTCCCCATCGGTTGCATGTATGATGGTGTTTCCTGCTTGGGAGGGGGTTGGACTCAATGGCCCTTGTGGTCTATTCCAACTCTATGATTCTATTCTATGACAAGGTCTTGGTCATGCTGTGTAAGGTGCTGAGGCTTGAAGGCTTCAGTTTTTCATCTTCTGCATCACCAGTACACTTCTGGGCCTTCAAGCAGCCAGGCAGCCTAGGCTCAATTGGGCCAACAGTACTCCAGGCTGTTGTTCCCGTGGTGAAACCCCATAGCATGAAGGTGGGTCTACTGAGGCACCCAAAAGGAGAGTCACAAAGACTGCTTTGCCCGATTCCCTACTTCCACCACATCCACAACTGTACCTCCTGCCACTGGTCCACATGATCATCTACCCATGCCAGGCCTGCACTCTGTGGCAGCCTGTCACAAGCTAGGCCCCTGATATGACATGTTGCTCTTTAGGAATAGACTGTCCACTGAATATCACTCATCCCACGCCTAGAAGGCTTGCTTTGTTTTCTGGCTGCCTTATTTTATTAGGGAAGATGGATTTCCCTCAGATCTGCCTGTAGTCTCCTACTCCTGTGTTTCAATCCCATTGCCCCTTCTCAATGGCTTTCCGAAGTCCTTCTAGAGAAAACCCCACCCTCCCCAATAGAAGCCGTGTGCATGTACATGTGAAAGCATTACCTGTCGCCCATCACTCCTCCAGACGCCATTCACAGTTTTGGTGGGTGCAATGGTCACAACCGGAGGTGTGTTCGGCACATTGTGCCCTCCTGGTGGGACAATCAGGGGCCCCATTGGTCCTCGCTTGGGAGTGCTTGCAGGGGAGCTGTGGTTGGTGGCCGGTGAGGAAACAGGAGAAGACTCGCTGCTTATTGAAGACCCTAAAACAAGAGAGAGAGATGGACAGAAATGAGATGGGAAGTTTCCCCTAGTGGGTAGTTTAATCCCAGGCATTAGAGCAGGCTGGGAGGCTGAACCCTTGCAGGTGCTCCCGTTGAATAAGGCTACCTTCACGCCATGCATTTAAAGCACTCTGATATGACTGCAAACAGTCATGGCTTCCCCCAAAGAATCCTGGGAGCTGTAGTTTGTTAAGGGTGCTGAGAGTTGTCCAAAGTCCCCTTACACAGCTACAATTTCCAGAGTGACCTAATAATCAATCCCTCTTCCCAGGAATTGATGCTCTGTGACAGAAATGGGGGCCTCCTAACAGCTCTCAGCACCTGTAACAAACTACAGCTCCCATTAGTCTTGGGGGGGGAGGAGCTTAAAGTGACATCACGGTTCTTTAAATGTATGGTGCAAAAGTCGCCCAAGTTTAACCACTATTCTGACTCCAAAGAAGACTTTTCCTGAACATTGTTCCTTGTTGACAAGGAAAAGGTTTCCACTCCCATCTCTGCTGAGGTGGTGGTAGGGAATTCTCTCATGTACATTTGGGCCCATTAATTAATTTCAAAAGCATCCATCTGCCAGAATAGGGGTGGACAACTGCATTGCTGGGGCATTCAGATGTCCATACAGAAGTTGGGGTGAGGTAGTAGTGCTATTTGGCTGTACCTCCTGACCCCTTACTGATCATCAAGGAGAGTAAAAGTATCACAGTAAAGGTGTGGCTGAGACACAGCATGCAAACCACTAAGAGGGACACAACATTAACCTGGCTGGATCTCTCAGAAACTTTTAAAAACAATTTCCTTTTCCTTATGAGTAGGCACACTTTTTTGCCACATGTGGATCAAACTCTGACAACAATGAAGGGTGGTGGTTTCTAGTGGTAATTTGATAGTTTAGTTGGCCCTTGGGAACGTAGGAAACCGCCTTAAACCAAGTCAAACCACTGGTCCATCTAGCTCAGTGTTTCCCAACCTTGGGCCTCCAGCTGTTTTTGAACTACAATTCCCATCATCCCTGACCACTGGTCTTGCTAGCTAGGGATGATGGGAGTTGTAGTCCCAAAAACAGCTGGAGGCCCATGGTTGGGAAACACTGATCTAGCTCACTATTGCCTACACTAACTGGCAGCAACTCTCCTGAGTTTCAGCCAGGGAATCTTTCCCAGGCCTGGAGATGCTGGGGATTAAACCTGAGACCTTCTGCAAGCAAAGCAGATGCTCTACCGCTAAAGCCACATTTGCTTATGGATTTCTGAGTGACAAGATCCTACTTTCTCAGCTCAGAAGGCCAGTTTCCTCCTCTACACCTTATTAATAAGGCATTTAATATGGTGCCAGGCACCGTACAGCTATGATGAATATTCAGATACACATAGGCACATCTGTTTCTACCTCCTCATCCACAAATCAAGTGTTCTTGCTCAGAAGCCTTCAAACATTCACATTTAGCAATTGGCAAGACAAAATGGCTTACACTTGGGTTACATGGGAGGGCTCTTGTGACACATAAAAAGGGACCCAAACTACCCATTCAGTTGCTAGAAGAAACCCAGAAGCATAAAGCCAGCCCAGGGGAAAGCAAAAGCAGCAAGGCAATTACTTTAGAAAAAAGGCTGATGGTACAGAGACGTTACTCTAATGCTGCAGCAGTGGAAGTCCTGGGCTTGAATACCGCCCTGCATGGCTACATCTATCAACACACAAAACCTGGGGCATCACAATTAGAGGCGGCTACTGCTTTCTTTCAAGAAAAATTAGCAAAACCATCCTAAGCCAAGACTGCAAAAGCAGCCATGACCAAAATGTTGTGCTCAAAGAGACGGGCATTTGGGTAAATAGAACAACTCCCTCTTTTTTTCAACCCTTGGGCAAGGTTTTGCTGCAATTTGCATAATACATCTGTATTTTAAATTACACCCAGCCTAGGGAAGCTGCTGGTATTTGCAAGTAGAGGGGGGGGAGAGACTCACAGAAATAGAATTAAGAGCACGATGCATATAGACAAGGGTGGCTATAGAAGAAATACAAATAGGATGCTAACTAGGGCATCCTTGCTAGATTTTGCCCTGTGCCTCAATGCAAACAGGTTGCATGAACAACATTCATACAAAGGGAAAGTTTGTCTAAACACAAACATGGGGCATTCAAATAAGCTAACAGCCATTCCGAGTTAAAGAAAAACAATTTCCTTATGGTGGAACAGGGTTGGCAAGTGGATCATGTGTCAATTTTATATTGTTTGGTTTAAAATAAAAATAAAAATCATGCCTCTCTAAGCAAACTCTAATGACTTTGAGCCTTTAAGGACATACCAAGATGCAGTTGGGACATCACACTCACACCATACATTTAAAGCACTCTCATACCATTTTAAACAGTCATGGCTTTCCCCCAAAGTATTCTGGGAGCTGTAGTTTGTTAAGGGTGGTGGGAGTTGTTAGAAAACCCTTATTATCACAAAGCTACAACTTAAAGAGTTCCCTGTGAAGACGGAAAGTCTGTTAAACCATTCTGCGAGCTGTATAGCTGCCAGAATTATTTGAGGGAAGCCATGATGGATTAAAGTAGCATCATCGTTCTTTAAATGCATGGTGTGAATGTGGCCACAGTGAATCAGTTGAACTAACAGTGCACTATGTAAACAGATGAATTATTAAGTTGCATTGACTATGGCAAGAGTGAGCTGAAATAGGCTGCAGGGCCTAGTATGATGGCACACGCATGGGAGCCTAGGAATCAGAGAGGTAGATCCTTGATTTTATTGGCCCCAACCAATTCAGCTTAAGGATGTTGCAAATCCTTCCTGTTTTACTGAATTCTAAGGAGTACTCAAGAGCACAAAAAGAATATGGAATACTAAGACATCCTTTCCAGCCTGGGCCAAAAAGGTACCCACAGGAACCACTCACAATGAAGTGAACAATGAACATGTTGCACTGTTGACGCATACGGCACTTGACAAGAGTTTCATAAGGAAAAAATATACAGCCAATTTGACACTATTTTGCCAACACTATCAGCCTAACTGAAAACATAAAAATCAACAGGCAAGAGCTTATTTTGCCATCACGTACTCTAAAAATTAATGTGTATATACTGTATATTTTTAAATGAACTATTCGGTCAGACTCAAAAGCATGCAACAATCTTTAGTCTTTCTTCCCAATGCCATGTCTCCTACTTCCATCGGAGTCATACACCACTTGGAGCAAGCTTGCAGCAGAAGGAGAAAGCAGAAAGGAAGGGGCAGGTTTGCCGCGTTGCCAGCTCCCGGGCTTTATTAATTATTCCTGGGCGACTGCGCCACGCTTTCATTCTGGAGAGTGGTGGCACGGATGGTGCAGATGACAAAGGAAGCCGCCAGTATGGATTTGACACCTACTGAAGTCTATCTTGTCAGCGCTGAGGCCGACAACAATTAGCAGCCTTAATCCCCTCTGAGCTGGGAAGCCATTACTCACCACTGAAAGCCTTATCAATCAATACCATCACAAAGAGCCGGGCAATTAATGAAGCTAAAGTCTTACTTCAGAACCCTTAATTCTCACTGTGTGGCTTTAAAATGGGAGGGTTTGTGATCGTTATAATTAACTGGCGGTATTCAGCCAGGAGTTAGTCAATGAAACTAATCTGGCTTGGAGATGACAAGAGGCGCAGTGTGGCAGTGTCACCTTTGTTGTCTGACCTCCTGATTCCCACTCAGTGATAGCAGATTAGCAGGAAAGGCTGACAGGCAAAGGTAATTAACAGCTGAGACCCTGACGAAGAAGTAAAGGCAGAGGATGTGTGGGGAAAGGGGGGTGGAGAGGAGAAAAGGCCCCGCAAGGATCCAAACCCACTGAAGCTGACGATCAGCAGATGAGCCTGCCTGGATTTGCTTTGTAGCTTCTTCTGCTCGCCCAGTTGGAAAGGGACCTATGCCTTGATCAAAATGGAAGGAAATGATTCCTGGATGACAGCAGAAAATGGGCTCAGGGGGTGCCTGGCAGCTCAGGCACTGCAAACAGTTCTAGCCTAACAGAGCAATTCATTTGTGAAGAAAGAGCCTTGGGCTCAGACAAGACTGGATGCTGTGCCCTCAGACCTAAAACACCTCCTTTCAAAATCCTGTATGTCTGTGGGTGGTTGAGCTCACTTCTGGGGAAAGGATTTTGCCTGCTTCACCTGTGACAGATACGTCGCCTCTACCCTTAGAGGGAGCTGGGAAACTGAGGTCAGATGCTGGTGCACCCCTGACATTAAAAAAAATTCCCACAAAGCCATATTGTTTCCAGCGGTCACTGCTTCTTCTGTCCGACATTTCCAGTTTTGAGCTGACCGAGGAGCAAACAAATACAAACACACCCTTGATCCAGTGAAGGAAACACAGCTCTTGTGTAACACCTGTTCAAGTTCTGCCACCCCAGAAATATTCACTACTGCAGATTCTAACCTCTACCATTAATGGGGCCACAAACAGGCCCCACAAAGAGCTGGTCTCTGATTACAACCAGTCACAGCTCTCTGAATCTTCGGCTTCTAGGAAATCCACGTGACCCTTTCCCAGAACAGACACCCATGGCAGGCTGGAACTTTAAATTCCCCACTAGCTAGAATTAGCATGTGATGAGCAAAGTAGTGTAGTTACATCACACTGAGACTCTCTCTCTCTCTCTCTCTCTCTCTCTCTCTCTCTCCAGATTAATAACAGTTTAGCTCTTATTCATAAAATGGGGACAGAGGCTGCATACACTTGTTATTTTTAAAGTACAGTGGTACCTCGGGTTACATACGCTTCAGGTTACAGACTCCGCTAACCCAGAACTAGTACCTCAGGTTAAGAACTTTGCTTCAGGATGAGAACAGAAATTGGGCGGTGGCGGCGTGGCAGCAGCAGGAGGCCCCATTAGCTAAAGTGGTGCTTTGGGTTAAGAACAGTTTCAGGTTAAGAACGGACCTCCAGAACGAATTGAGTACTTAACCCGAGGTAGCACTGTATATTAAAG